GGTTTATTCTTTAAGCAATGAGATTTAAAAAAATGACGTCAAGCTTGACGTTAATAGATGTTTTCTCATAGAACAAAATATTGACTAAGCTCTTATAATCAAAAAGATTGTTTAAAGGCGGTAGATTTAAAAAAGAATCTATATATTGGATAAGTTCTACTGAAATAATAGTAGATGCTGGTTTTTAAAAATTTATTATCCCTGTAAGACATTATCCCTGAATTTATTGTGTTATTGCTTTAATCACAATCACATATATAAAAATTTATTAAGATAATCCATATATTATAAACTTTTTATTTATAATAGTTAACAAAGGACCATTTACAATTGCTAGATAAATTGCATATGCTTGCTATTGATGTCCTTGAAGTGAAACATTTAAAACTAGAAGACTTTAAATTTGGATTTCATAGAGATCCAAGTATGCGTCAATTACACTTGCATGTTATATCGCAAGACTTCATATCGGATTGTTTAAAAACCAAGAAACATTGGAACAGCTTTAACACAAAATTGTTTTTACCATATGAAGGTAAATTAATTAATTATTTAATCATCTTTATAATAATATAACGTCGTCTTTTAGAATTATATAATGAACTTAAAGCGGATGGGTGTGTAAAAAAGATAAATGAAGAAGAAATCAAACGCCTACTTTCAACTGATTTAAAATGTAACCATTGTTCGTTTATAGCCACAAATATGCCAAAATTAAAAATTCACTTAATCAGCCACTAAATGTGCATTTCATTAGCTAATTTATAAAATCAAATCTTAATATACAATAAATATTTTAATAAGTTTGAAGAAAATAAACTGTGTTTATTTGTACCAGCATCGACGTTACATTGCGTTCTATATGCAAAAAACTAGTTATGTGAAAAATTTCATTACATAAATTTAACTTAATGAAAATAAGAAAAAAATATTGGAATGAAGCAGCCCGGAGGCAAAACATTTTATTTAAATATTTCATAATTTTACATACTGTATTTTTGACTAATTAAATTTTATATATAATATAATTTAATACATTTTGGGTTTGAAAACAATAACAATTGAAATACATGCACAATTAGTCAATAATAGATAAAATATACACTGTGGTTTTATCATATATTATTGTAACAATCATTAACTTAATTTGTCAGTTAATTCTACTTTTGCTTGTAGTTTTTGTGCATTTCAGGTGAGATATTGTAAACATATTGCAAAATTTCCTGAATAACAGGTTCCTTTCGCGATGCAATGGAGCGCTCCATATCATCCAACTTAACACGAGTATCAGCGTCAATTTTAGCAGCTACACCTTCACGAGAACCCATGTGCTGGACAAAAACAATATAATATTTAGTACGAAAATTAAAATTTTTGAATGCTTATGAAGGTCAAGTAAAAAGGTAAAAAGTATATGTTAAGGAACTTACTTTGGCTTCAAATTCCTTAAATTGACGTTCTCGTTCCTGGCGGTATTTCTCAATCTCTTCAGTAGCTTCATCCTTTGCTTGCTTCAATCTTCTTGCCTTGCCTGTTTTTTAAAAAATCAAAACATCCATAGTGTAAATAATAATACTCACATATGCGATCATGTGATCAAAACTAAAATGGAGTTACTGTGAATTTTGTCAGACTTACGTTTTCTTGCTTCTGCAACTTTTTCAGCTGCTTTTTTTTCCGCAGCAAGCAATTGTTGTATACCCTGAGTTTGACTGGTCATATTTACTAAATTTTCTAATTAGAATATTTTTTTCAAGTATAATTGCTAGTGCACTGCTCACAAGACAAGAAGAAAAATCCAAGTGGCAAGAAAAAATATATATATCACATAATATTGTCATATGACAACTATGCATATCTCCTTGTATGGAGTATTGCTTATCGAAAAATAATCGGTTACTTGGTAGTCAAATTTTGGAACTCAGTTTCTAAATGTAACTTCAGTTGACATGTTGATTACGGAATATTATAATAAATTCTGTATTTTTATAATAATTTATTTTTGCAAATAAATTAATGTCAAAATAATTTAAATTTAATAACATGAATCTTAGTTTTTTGTTATAACAAAAAAAATTTCTATAATATTTAATAAATTGATCAAACGAAATAGTCAATATAAAATTTAAGAAATAATTTTTACTCGAAAAGTGTACACGAATTTATTTTTAAAAGTATAAAAGAGCAAACGAGAGCGGAAAAAATACATCTTAAATAGCTTTACCATATTAAGATTTTGGTTAACAATATTCTCTCAAATTGTGTCATTTTTGAATATCAAAATTACCTAGTTTTCGAACATTGTGTTTCAAACAGTTGACAGATAACAGCTGATTATTGAACAAACACATTTTGAAAACATGAATTTTATCCATATTAGGCAGCGCAACTTTTTTATTTAAAGCGGCAGCATTTTATTTTACATTGAAAATAAAACATACTAAATTTATAAAAGGTATAAATTTAAATTATCTTAGTTATGGATAAAAGCGCGAAAAGTAAAAGAGAGGCGAGGGAGGAAAAGCAAAAGGACTTAAAATTTGAAGAACAGGTAAAATATTTAAACAGAATACAGTAAGAAAAAATAAAATATTTTCTAAATTAATTCGTTAGATTTTAAAATCATTAGAAGAAACTACAACATCTGAGCAAAAATTTGAGCTGTTGTTAAAAAAGTATATAGAATCGGACCGCGAAAGCCGGCGTATCAAGCAGGATTTGAAAGAAAAAACAAGAAACTTAGAAGTAGTGCAACGGGAAAAAGAAAATCTTCAACGAGAGCACAACAAAAATGTCCTTATGAAGTGAGTGCAGATAAAATATACTGTGTGTTATATATATATATATATATGAAATTTTTTTATTATTTATGTAGAGACAAATTACAAGAAGTTTGCAGAGAGCAGCAAAAATTAATTAAATCAGTTAAAAATGAAAGTTTACAAAAAATACGTGATGAAGAGGAACGACGTAAGGAAACACAATTAAAATTTCAATCTTCTCTGAACGAAATAACACAATCACTTTCAAAAAATAATGAAGAGAATCTGAAGTTAAGAGATCATAATGTCGAAATGACACAGAAGTAAGAAGTTCTAAATTGAAAATAAAACTTATCGTTACCAAAGTAATAAATCATTTAAATATTTATATATCAAATACACATAGTAAAGAAAGCCTTTGGTCACCCATAATATTTTTCTTAAATTTCGCATAACTAATTAAATTTTTACTCAAATTAATTTTTGTTTTCTGATTTATTTTAACCAAAGAAACAACAATGAAGTTCAAACATAAAATGAAAACAGTTATTATTTAAAAAAAAATTAAATAGTTATATGCAAAAGTCACAATTTTAAAAGCAAAAAAAGTCTGTCTTCACTCCTTAATATTTGGAATTACCGTTAATTTAAATTCGCTTGCAAGCATAAACGTGTCATTAAATGGTAATTATATATCAGTTGACTTCCTAAAGAGTCTAAAAATTAATCATTTAAAATTATTTTTTTAAATAAACAGTAAATTTTTACAATGGAAAACAAAAGACGTAAAATTAGTGTTAATGAACGACAAATAACTGTTAAATTTTGAAAAGATGGCGTAAACCAACGAAAAATTGATAAAGATATTGGTCGTCAATATTCATATGTGCAGAGAGTTATAAATAACTTCAAAGAGAAGAGTAGTTACGTTTTTAAACCTCGCACTGTTCGCCCTTCAATTCTGTCGGATAGAGAAAGACGCAGCGTCATTAACCAGGTGAAAGGAAATCCAAGAGTAATAGCTTCCAAACTAGCTGAACATATTGCTGAAATACTTGAAAAAAAACATGTCCTGATACTGTGCGAAAAATTTTGAAGAAAAGCAAGTATTATACCCGGGTTACAAGAAAGAAGCCATACATATAATAATACATATATATAATAGAATAAAATGATTAAGCTTTGCAAGAACGCATGTAAATAAACCTATGGAGTTCCGAAAATGAGTTATTTTTTCGATAATTTTGCATATATATATATATATGAAATTAAAGGTAAAAAACTTGTTTGGAGAAAATCATGCACAGCCTATGATAAACAAAATTTAATTTCAATGGTAAAACATGGTGGTAGAGGCGTAATGGTTTGGGGGTGTATTGCAAATAATGGTGCTGCTAATCTTGAATTTATACAAGATACAATGGATAAACATGGGTATCTAAATATACTAAAAACAAATTTGAAAGAAAATGACAGTATGTTAGCGGTTGAGGCAACTTTTTTGTTTCAGCAGGACAACGACTCTAAGCAAAGAGTAGCGATTGTACGGATTTGGCTGCTAAACCATTCTCACAGGTAACTTCAAACACTACCAGAATCACCAGATCTTATTCCCACGGAATATTTGTGGGTTTATTTGGATAATAAGATTCGCCAGCACTAGATTTCCAGTAAGGATATGTTAAGCAATGTCATCGAGAAAGAATAACTAAAAATAAACGCACAGGTTACTGCAAGCTGGTTGAGTTCATGCAAAGTGATTTAAATCACTAAAGTGATTTAGCGCAGAGGTTATCCCACAGGCTATTAAATTGTAGATTTCTGTGAATTTTAATTGTTTTAATTGAAATATTAAGAAATGTCCGCAGACTTTTTCTGCATTAAAATTGTTCCTTTTGCATATAATTGTATTTGATTTTTTTTTTTAAAGAATAACTGTTAATTTTTTATATTTGAACTTCATTGTTGTTTCTTTGGTTAAAATAAATTAGAAAACAAAAATCAATTTAAGTTAAAATTAAATAAGTTATGCGAACTTGAAGAAAAATGTTGTGGGTGATCGCAGACTTTTTCTGCATTAAAATTGTTCCTTTTGCATATAATTGTGTTTATTTTTAAAGAAAAACTGTTAATTGTTTATGTTTGAACTACATTGTTGTATCTTTGGTTAAAGTAAATCACAAAACGAAAATCAATTTGAGTAAAAATTAAATAAGTTGTGCGAAATTTAAGAAAAATATTGTGGGTGACCGCAGAATTTTTCTGATATGTGTATATATAAATATTGATATATATATATCAACAATTTAATAGTTTATAATTTTTAATATAATTTTAATAATTTTATTGTATTTTAACTAAAAATATCTAAATAGACTTTTTACATAAGTCCTTTTTTAAAATTTAATTTGATTTTTATAATACAAATGCGAATTTTACAGACTAAAATTTTTGGCTGATCAATATCGCACACGAGAGTTACAAATGGAGAAATTAAACGAGCAGGTACAACTAGAATCTCAATTACATCAAGCAAAACTTAATAAAGTTGAAGTAGCATCAGCTATGGAAAAGGAAATATTAATCAAGTAAGTGCTATGATTGTTCTCAAAATGTGTTTAAAAAACAAAAAAGAATACTTTAGGTATCTGCTGGTAACTGATATGTTTTTATAAGCAGTGTTTCAAAGTCGATTTTTTCAAGTGTTGTTATTAAGCTCTATTTAAAAACTTCATTAACTTGATAAAAATTAATTAATGGCTTGATCATTATTTAAGCCAATCATAGAAAATGTCTTGTTTAAGTGAACTTGTAGATATTTTTGTGTCAATAAAATACATTTAGGAGAAAACATTTAATATTAAATTAATAACAATTTGATATGCAATTACAGAGCAAACTCCTGCACTTCGTTAATGCATTTTGAGATTGCTCATCTTAGAGTTCAAATATAAACATTAAAATCAACACCCAAATTGTCAACTAATAATAAAAAAATAGAATAAAAACAGTATCTGCTACTAGCACTAAAAGTGAAATAACAATTTTACAAAAAATTTCTGTAGAAATGTTTTAATGCGTTTTGGATTGAATTAATAAAAAAATTACTTTACAAGTACACAAAAAGTGATATCTAACTTATAGTCATAATATTGCAATGAATGTATATATGTATATATTCATTACAATAAACGAATTTTTATCATTTTTAGAGAAAAACAAATTGCTTTAGAAAAACTACTTCAAACGCAAACAGCTTTGAAGGAACTAGCAGAACGAGAAACTGCGTTAAAAGAACAACTAAATCTATATACTGCCAAATATGATGACTTCCAAAGTTCCTTAAAAAAATCCAATGATGTTTTTACAACCTACAAAATAGAATTAGAAAAGGTAATTTGTTTGTACAAAAGTTATTTAAGAAAATTATTTAATATATATCATTATTTATATAGATGTCCAAGAATACCAAAAAACTGGAAAAAGAATCATTGGAATGGAAACATAAATGGGAAAAGAGTAACGCTACACTCATTGAGCTTGCTACTGAAAAGCAAGAGCGTGATGATCATGCTAAACGTTGTAATAAACAAGTGGAACAACTACAAAAACTATTACGTGCACTACAGCACGAACGAACCCACCTTTATAATTCTTTACGAGATAATAATATTGAATTACCAGTACTACCGCCACTACCACTAGAACCGGCACCGATACAGACAACGCCAATAACTAGTGTAACTGATAAGGACAAAATGGAAGTAATGACAAAATATTGTGATGAATTGAAACAAACGCTGGCTAGCTTACAGAATCAAATTAAAGAAATTAACATACAAAAGAGTGCCGAGGAATCTAAATTGCAACTACTAAGTGAAGCACATACCAAACAACAGAAGCAGCCTAATGATGAGTCCAAAAAAAGCAAGAGCAAAAAGAAAAGCAAAGCAAAAAAGAAGAAAGCTATTGAGAAAGAATCAACACCTGATTCTGTTTCGTCTTTAAACAAAAATGCAAATGAGGACGATGATGATTTAGTTAACGTTGGTGATGAAAATGATGATGATGATATTGCAGCTGAAGTTAAACGTATGCAGTTAAATGCAAAAGAAATTATGGATTCAGCAATTGATGCAGCAGTCGCTTCAATGACAGACGCTTTAGTTGCAAATGTGGAAAAAATTATTCTTAGCGATGATAACCTTCAGATTGTCGATGAGACCTTGCTGCAAAACTGTGAAGCCGAGAACAGTAATACTGAAGAAACTGCCACTAATTTTATTGCAGACACAGTGCCAAATTAATATAGCATTTTCTATTCGAAAAATACATAATCATATACAACACATTTAACATGATTTTTGTTTAATTATTTTTCTTAATCAAAAAACAAAAAAAAAACCAAAAAAATAATCTAATTTTCAATTGTTAAATACTTTTACGATATTAAAATTTTTTGTTTGACTTTAAAAAAATAAAACACAAATATTCAGTTATTTTAATTTTATGTTCACATTTGATTTGATATTTATATAAAACATAAAATTCTACTTTTTACCGTTTATTGCGTTACATTTTACATTTTTAGTAGATGTCACACAGAAATAGTTCAAAAATATCAAATTTGCTCTTGAAAAGCATTAAAAACTTGTTCTTTTTAAATCAATATTCCTATTAATAATATATCGGTACCAAAACCAAAAAATTTTATTTATAAAAATAAACTAATTTAAATGAAGATTTTTACTATTGAAGCAAATGATACGCTATATCACTTACTGCTGTCGCTGTATCAATTTAAGATTTAAGCTAAGATAAAATATGCGAAATATGGAGCAGCATTTAAAAGTAAACTAGCAAACAATGACAGAATTTCGTCGATAACTAATGAAATTTAAATTTCAAAAAATTGTTTGGTGTAATAATTATACCCATTATGTTCTGTTATTTTATTTTTGCAACAAAAATTTTGGGCAAATCATAGACAAAAAAATTGTTTGTATTACACTTTGGACTTCACAGCACTTATTTTAATAATCACAACTTCGGAGGATGGGAAGAAGTGCTTGATATAACACTTCTATCTAAAATCCAGACATTGTAGTTAGTAATTGGAAAGTATCTGACAAGAAATCCACTTCGGATCATAGTTGGATTCTCTTCAGTTTAAACATTAAGCCAAATCATACCATCCCCTTTAGAAACCCGAAGAAGATAAAATGGGACATTTTTACAAGGGTAACTAAGGTGGAACTTAATAAAGTAAAACAAATCAAAATTTATTCTACTAGTGAGCTAGACGAGAGGATATATAATCTTGAGAAAGCTTTTAATATAGCTTACAAGAAATCTGGTCCAATAAGTAGAAGCAAAAAATCTTTTCCACCTTAGTGGAACTCAGAATTAAGTGATCTCAGGCAGAAAACATAAAAACAGCTACAAGCTACAAGCTACAAGAACAATAGTTTGCGTGAAAATAAGGATTGTCTCAAAACTTATAAGAAAGCTATCGGGGAGACCAAAAGTAATGGCTGGAAGGAATTTTGTAAGTCAATTGAATCAACTTCATCCTCTGCTAGGCTCAGCAAGGTTCTATCCAAGGAAAGTCCTAATACTTCTTATCTCAAGAAAGAGGACGGCACATGAACTGAAACCTCTGCTTAGACACTAAGATTACTATTAGATACTCATTTCCCAAACTGCGAAGATGATGCTAGGGAAATTGGTTCAATCACCTTAGCAAGCACACCATCGCAGGTGGCTGAAGGTTTGGACGGTATTCTCTCCATCATGTTGCAAAAATTGCAATACTTAGTGGTTCCATGGTTCAATATAGTTATGTACCACTTAGTTGGAATCAGGTTAAAGTCGTTTTTATACCCAAGGTAGGCAAAATCGGACACGAGTCCGCCAAAGATTACAGGCCGATTAGTCTAATTTCATTCCTACTAAATTCAATGGAGAGGGTAATAGAGCTTCAACAATCTCTAAATCCCAGCATGCTTACCTCAAGGGTAGATCTACGGAAACAGCTCTACATGAGGTCATTCGTACTCTGGAAAAATCGATTCATTTTAAACAATACTCGTTGGCAACCTTTTTAGACACTGAGGGGGCTTTTAACAATGTCACCAATCCATGACTCGCTTTCCAGAATAGGTTTAGAGGAAGAGTTAAAAAATTGGATAGTTACAATGCTAAAAACAAGGACTATTCAGTCAAAGTTAGGCAGCATAACCCATACTAAGCACGTAAGTAGAGGTACGCCACAAGGAGGGGTTATTACACCACTACTGTGGCTGCTGGTCGTGAATAATATTCTTAATATTCTAGGTAAGATAGGGGTGAAAATAGTAGCGTATACGGATGACGTGGTCATTCTAGTGTCAGGTATGTTCCCTAACGTAATAAGGGATATTATGGAAGGGCCTTGGTTAAAATAAGTACCTGGGTCACAGGTTATGGACTAGGTATTAACCCAGGAAAAATTAAAATAATGCTGTTTACCACCAAAACCAAAATACTGGCTTTCAAGTTGCCTTCACTAAACGGGCAACAATTAATACTATCGGAAAAAGCCAAATATCTAGAAATTCTGCTAGATAGTAAGCTAAACTGGAAAAACACTGTTGATCTTCTTATCTAGAAGGCATGTGTAGCTTTCTACCATATTCTTGTAAAAGGACGTTTGGAAAAATTGGGGGATTTGTCCCGATATTACCTACTGGATGTACACGGCAATTGTATGTCCAATCCTATGGTATGGTATGGTGCTGTCGTTTGGTGGCCGGCTCTGAATAAGAGCTATAATATCGTTAAATTTAACAGAATTCAGAGGACAGCATGTGTAGGTATCACAGGAGCTATTAGGACGACTCCCTCGGACGCCCTAAACATGATGCTACACCTACTACCTATCAATCTCCACATAAAAAACATGGTTTGCAACCGCGCTGTAAGACTAAAAGTAACAGACGTCTGGTTGGAACGAACATATGGACATAGTCGGATTCTAGGTACAGTTCAAAACTGTTTGTATAAGATGACATCGGATTATCTGAACCCGTGCATAGACTTTGAAAGGAAATTTCAGGCAATATTCTTCAAGAACCCTTCAATACCCTTCAAGAAATAAATGGAATAGGAAAAATTTCAAAGCAAACTACGATGGCTCGAAAATGAGCTGTGGAGCAGGAGCAGGTATTTTCGCACCATCTGAAAATCCTAGGGTGAAGCTAGGATTTAGAGAAGCCTGTCGGGAAATTGCAAGTCACATCGAGGATAGATGTAGTGTTGCTATTTTCATTGACATCCAGGCAGCAATTAAAGCCCTCAAGAAATATTTCATAATAAAAAGAAGGTTCATATGAGAACGCTTTCCCTAAATGGTAATGAACCAAGCCACATACAAAAGTATGTGTGTGCATGTCTTGAACAAGTTAATTTGAATGCGAGCGCCTATTTTTATTTTGAATAAAATTAAATTTTGTTTCTGGGGAAATTGTTTGGCTAGTAAATATCGTCGATTAGAAGACAATGAGGTTATACGTTTTTCCGTACGCGTATAAAAGTTATTAAAAAAGCGATATATATATATATATATATATATATTAAACTAAAATATAAGTCGAGGATTTTACCATTATGTGATGATTTGAAATATAGCGAAAGTATATAAATCTTTTATGTACTTATTTTCGAACCGCTGTCCACACGTATTGAAACTAAGTTAAATAATATATTTATCTACATGTGTATGTATTTTGTTTCAAAATTGAAACAAATAATAAATATTAATATGCTCACAGGTTTCTGCTATTATTTTAGCAAGCAGCGTCAAACAGTCTGGCTCAACTCATATATGAAAAATAATTGCAGAATTTAATATGTACTCGTTCATACATATTTCACAACAAAAGTACAACGCACGATGTAAATAAAAAAGTGTAGTATATACACAAATAAAAAATTTGTTGAAAAATTGTTAGCAAATACATAGTAAAAATATGTAAAATAGTGGATTATAATGTATAGTGTAAGTCCTTAATTTTTTACATTTTTGGGTATAAACCACACAGAGAACTTATGGTAAATACATTTATATTTTTAATAGAAAAATATTAAACAAGGAGATTAGAAAATTAAAAAATTTAAAACTTAATATAAAACAAAGAGGCGCGAAAAATTAAGCATAATAAAATTGGCAGCTTTGCTACTCATATTTCATATTTCATATTTCATATCTCATATCTACAAGAGCTGCTTAACAGCAACTTCTAGTAAGCAAACATCATTAGCACAACAAAAATATAGCAGCCACTTGTCATAGTAAAAGTTGAGACAACAACAAATTATCGAAGAATGTTCGCCGTACTCGCATTTGCTGCAAAAGCTCTTGAGAGTGTGCAAAGAACACAAGGAACGAATAAAACGAAAAGGGCACAAGTAGAAGTCCTGTTGGGGGTGGCTTTTGTCAATTTTTGGAGCTAAATAAAAGGAAAAGGAAAAGTAAAATTAAAAGCAAAAACAGAAACAGAAAAATACTAACAGTGTAACATGGCCAAAGAAAAGGACACAGTCATTTATGGGTAAAGGACAAAACCGAAAAAACGCAAAGAAACAAAAAATATAAAAAATATAAAAAATGAAAAATCAGACGCTTTGAATTGTTGAACGGCGAAGTTGTTTTGAACGACAACGTTCAGTCGGGAAATCAGTTGTGTATTAGATATTTGCTCGTGCCGCCGTCGTTGGCTGCTGTTTGTTGTATTGTTAAGGACTATACTTAAAATAAATATATGTAACAGATAAGATAAAAAGTTGCCCAGATATGAAGATATACATTTTGAGTTCTTTAGCTTCTCCTCTTCGCTTTAAATTATTATTATAGTTTTTTTTTTCTTGTGATAAAACAGTTTTACTTTACACTTGTAAGTCTGAGAAACAGATTTTGCAATAAAATAAAATATAAACGAATTTTCGCAATTAGTGAAAAGTGTACAAAATATTAAATAAAAAAGTAAAATTAATGAAAGAAATACAAACATAAGTGAGAAATTTAAAAAATGAAATTTTGAAATTATTTTTAAATTAAGCAACTAATTTAAGAAATATATATAAAAGAAAAAAAAATAAAAAACAAAAAAATATGTCTGACAATATTCAAAAGCCAAATGAAGCATAATTACAGGAATTTCAGCGAGACCATTTTAATACAATACCATACTACCACACCACCATACCACCATTCGCAACAGCAAGAACTTCAAACTCCACCAATTGAAAGAAATCCGCAAGCCAAATTTTTGTATATAATTTTTTGCAAATAAAAGCAAAACATAAAAACAACTCATTAAGTTAATAAGAAAGTCGTCTAAATTAAAGTAAGCACGCAAAGAACCATCGCCGAAAACAAATATTTTTTTTATTAACAATGATTTAACAAGAAAAACTAAAACTAGCATAAGCTAAATAATAATTAAACCCCACAAGTACAACAGTAACAACAACAACAACAACAACAACAACAACAACAACAACAAAAATAACCTACCAACTGCGAAGGGGCTACGGCTACAGCTACGACCACGACCACGACCACGACGACTACGACTTCAACTAACGAAAAACAACAACGCGACGGAAAAGAAGGTGCTTAGAGCTCAACGTACAACGGAAGCGTCTAAAAACGGAAGCAACTGCGGCAGTCGACAGTGAAAGGTGAAAATAAAGCATTTAGTTGTTTGAAAGGTAAAAAATCAGCATGAAAATTTTAGAATATTCGCTAAAAAGTACAATAGAAAAAATAAAAAAATGTAAACCATATTAATAAAATGTTGTTGAGGAATTTCTAATTGCAAATAAAGTTTTCCTGTTCCCTTTTCCCTTTGTTAACGTTACATGGCCGTTAAGAACGCACACTTGAGGTTCGTTACATTACAATATACTATTGTCGCGTTTCGTTTAATAATTTGATTTTCTCTTGCATGTGCTCGTATAGTTAATTTATATATGCTTACAGATTTGTAGAAGTGGGCGTGTGTTATTTAAATGGACATATTATTTGAGAAAAAATCCTTTGAACAAACTAGAACAATTTCCTGTAAGATTGGCATTGTTAATCAAGTGAGAAATTGCTGTAGGTTATTTTTTAAATTGTCTGGGTGGAGTTAGGTGGTTAACCAGATAGCATATTTTTATATGTTAAGATAATATACTATAATAATACATATATACTAGCTCAAACTGTTAGAGTAAAGAAAATATAATAAAAACTTAGTACAATAACGCCAGAAACTGATAAAGAATGAAAAGTACTGGAACTATACTAGAACTATAAATTTTGTGCTGAAAAACAATTCGTTAATCTAACACAGTAGATATTTTAATTCTATTATTTTTATCGATGAATTTTTATTCTGCAAATATATTAGGATTTGCTCTAGTTGATCTGTGTGTGCTGAGAATGTAGAACTCCCATAACCAGTTTTTAGGTATTAAAATAAATTGTTTAATAATCACTTACTCCTAAATATTGTTTATTGTTTATTCTGAATTGAGAGAAAGCAATATAAGAAAATAAAGTTAAAAAACAAAAAAAAAAATAATAGTAAAATAAATAAACTTTATAAATTTTTGTTTCAACATTTCATTGTTGTAGGCTTTTACAACATCCTAAATATACACATACTGTATATATTTAGGATGTTTAATATCAAAAGAACCTTTATAATAATTAGTTAGTCAATAAATTACAATAAAATTTTATAAAATACAATTCCTAGAATAGTATCAAACATTCTGTAGAGTCTCCAAGCTTTTAAAAAGGCAATCATTTTCCTTTATTACTTTAAAATATTTTTCATATATTTTCATATATCGTTCTATTTCATTTTCGAAATAGATGAAAACAGAATATATTTCATTATCCTTTAAGTCTAGTTAGCAGTTATTTAAAATTATTTCCAAAATCGTTGTAATATATAAATACAGCAAGTAAAATTGTTAATAAAAACTTTCATAGCAAAAGTAACAAAACTCCAGCAAAAATATGCGAACATAAAAAGTCAAGAATACGGCTTTGGATCAGTTGGTTAAGGTGCGCTGATTCTGAGCTTCATATTTGGCAGGACCCGAGTTCGATCCCTGGTACTTGCAGTCTCAAAAAATAATTATTGACGAATAATTAAATATAAGAATTATTTCCAAGACCACTCGAAACAGCTGTATGGTCAGCCAAAAATTCAATTAATTAAAATAATTTAAAAAAATAAATTTTTGTTGTTGTTTCACTTCTGTTCGAAAACCTCTTTATACAAAATTATTTACTAAATATCATATAGTAAATATTCATTTATTCTCGATTCAATTAATCGAATGTTACAAAAATATTTACGGCTTATAATAATTGTGTCCGTTGTGTTATCACTGCTAGCGGACTGTTGGAGTTTTGAATAGAGATCCAATCTTAAAATTTTTGTGGAAAACCAATTTCGATTAGACTTTGAATGAAGCGCAACATTTTAAGCTTCTCCTTATAGTCCACAACTTTAATAGATGTTATCGAATGGGGCTCCAACCCGGTTGGGTAATAAGTGAGGTATTTAAAATGTTTTTTTGATACCTAATCTTATGATTGAAATAATTACACCACCAAGTTAATTCAGTAGGAAAGTAGAATATCCAAAAAATATTCAAAAATATATTAATATTTATTTAAGTACCTACAGCTGTTTCTAATATAGATGGAATATCGTGTGTTTCAATTCTTCTCCTATATCCAAAACGTCATCAATGGTAAAGTCAAGCGATCTTGTGTGGTGTGTTAATTATTATATTTATATTGATGGTGCCATTGGTATTAGATCTAAATGATACTAGGACAATAAAACTAAGTAGTCTTTTTGATCTGGAAGTAGGACGACAGTTTTCTTAGCAGATAAACTTCTTTGAGAAATGTATCGACTTTTGCAGTCACAGTCAAGTAGCACTTGAAGGTCTCCTTAACTTCTCAAGTTTTTGAAAAAAGATCAGTGAATGTAATATGAAGTTGCAAAATGCAAAATATAATTAATAACCTTTTCTATGGGTTTCTCTTCATTGTAGTGTTATTTATAAGTAATGTATTGGCTGATAATAGGTATCATTAAGGCTCTGCTTTAACACTTATATAATGCCAGAACCAATTTTTGACATTAGCTCTGCAGAGCTCCTACGTAGGGTTAACGACGTTGTGAACTCTGCTTGCGAAAAAGGGTGGTCCGATATGGAAACCTGCAAGGTAACAAACCGCTTTGTAAAAGAAGCTAACAGTGGACTGATGAAATTACTGATGCAATTAAAAAGAAGGACCTCAGAATACTAATTGTTGACATCACAGGCTTTAAAACAGGTGGGCACCATAAAGATGTGGAAAAAAAAAAGAGCACTTTGTCTTTTATTGTCGAGCATTTATAAAAATGACATTGAGATTGTTGGTTTATGATGTTTTATCATGAATAATCCTTATGCACTTTATGATCTTCTTAGATTCATTAAAAAATTGAGTAAATTCAATAAGAGTAGCCTAATCTTTAGGCTACAAAGATCCAAGATACTTAAATCTTTCTTTTAGGTTCGGGCGCAATAGTCAATTGGCTGAGTACTTTGGTTTAATTTTGCTCTGCACTCAAGAAAAAAAATACTTGTAGAAATCAAATCAAAATAGAAGTGAATAAAGTATAGAACTTCAAAGTTCTAGTTAGTTTTCTATAAATTTATTAAATAAAAAGTCAATTCGTAAAATGTATTTAATTTTGAAAACATTAGTTTATTCTCTAATATGTAAATATACACTTCATTATGTTAAAGTAGGCTGTAAAAGGAGAATGTTAAGCTGTAAAAAAAAGCAAATTTGTATGGATCTAGTCAGTCGTTTTTCATAAACGGACAGGAACAGATGAGAATCACTTTGTGCCTGGACTATAAGGTGAATACATAAGAACTACTTAACCAAGCTTATGGAGCTTTTAGCGAGTCATTTTCGATGTGTGTAGCTTGACGTTGTTCTGATGAAACACAATTCCTCTCCTATTGACCAAAGCTGTCTTTTTCTGAACGATTGCTTCCTTCAGACGGTCGAGTTGTTGACAGTACAGTTCCAAGTTAAGAGTTTTGCCGTAGGAGAGCAGCTCATAGTAAATGATTCCCTGCCAATCCTATCGATCCCACAAAACACACAGCAAAACCTTCCTGGTCGTCAATCCTGGCTTGGCTACCGTTTCAGCCGGCTGACTGCGATTTGATTACGACGGTTTTTGCTTGACCGTTTTCAGTTGTTGTGAGTGATACAACACCACTTCAGAAACAGGTCGATTTTATTACGATTAAGCAGCGATTTGCAAATGGAAGTTTGGTCCATTCGATTTTTTTTGCATTAACTAGCTTGTGTTTACGCCTTTATCAAAGAAAAACTGTGAAATATGGCATATTTTCTCTTTGTTAGTGTCCATCAACTGAGTCAACTGAGTCAATTCTCAAACAGTCAAAAGTTTTTAGTACAAAATCATATCTTTCTAATGTCATGTAACGTAACCCGATACAAAGCTGGATACAGATAACTAAACCCATCTATTAAATGGGTTTGGATTTCTTTTTATTACATCTAATAATTAAACTAACCAATTATAATTTCTGTTGTTAGCTTTCAGTACCATTCTCTCTGTAGAAACATTATTATTTATATGCATTTTTTAATTTCTTTTTTCTTGTATATGTAAAGTTTTTGTTTGTATTATAGACTTTTTTGACAGCTAATATCTGTACAAGTATTTTTATGAGATCGCTGAAAGTGAGTCGAAAAATTTGTTCAGTTTTATATTACGTATAGTAATTTCTAATTTTATAGTAATTCTAATTATTATTTAATTTCAAATCAATTACTAAAACAAATCCAAATACTAACTGCACTAAACTAGATGAAGAAGTGGGACATTGGTTTTCCACAATTCTCAACTAGATCAATTTAATTGATCTATTTCAATGTATCAATTAAAAAGGATTACAGAGCAATACTTAACTTCATTTAAATCGAAAACGCAGTACAGTAGAGTATAATTACTTTTGATTTACAAGTATGAAAAATTATTGATGTGCATAGAAAAATGTGTTCCTGTCATATAATAAAATTCAATGTATTGTATTGTGTATATGTAGACTTTTATTTAAAACGAATTTGACAAATTCCTTCAAGTACCTTAAGAAAAAAATGCTTGAAATATGAATATACTACCGTATATAACACATACTTATTGTAAAAAATGCAATAAGGTTTTTAAAAAAAAACTTTACATGGTAGTGATATCTTTTGTTTTGTAAGGAAAACAAGCACAACGGCAAAACATTGATTCTTATCATTAAACTACAGATATTACATGTCTAGTATATATTGTAATATGAATAACATCAATGAATAAGGCAAAAATAAAAAAAGAAAAACAAATCATCATTTATTGAATTTATTTATTAGTGTATAGTTCATAGGGGTCCTATACGTATAAATCTGAAGAATATACAGCTTCGAGCAAAATCTGTAAAAACTTTGTAAATTACTACAAATACTTTCTAATTTTTTTTACGATATATTAGCTTTTTGAATTGAACTTTAAACATTTCACCAACTTAGGCTGTCCGATTTATTGTAATTTCTTTAAAAGAGTATCCAAGCTGATTCTGTTAGAATGCTTTAAATTTTTGCTTAACTTTTTGCGACC